GTAGAAAAGGAAACAAGATTTAACAGTAATGCGGGTTAATTCAACGAATGTCGGGGTAGGTCCTCAACATACTACCTGCGCGAATATTTGGTATATGTTACAGACCTCGACGTCATCCAAGAAATTACAACTGTCTATAGAGATAAGATGCTCTATTGTTGACGGTATGGTACGCACAATACACACAGCCTCTTCGTATTGTGCTGCGGTAGATTCGGTCTCTCAGCAGATGCCCTTCTGTGTCAGCTTGAGCTGGACACATCAGGTGCTAAATGCTGGGCTTCTGGAGTTCGCAAGACGCTAGAGGAATGTGGTTTTGCCTTTGTCTGGAATACGCCAATGTCCTCTGTTTTGAATCCCTCTCAAATTATTCCATCCATCCACCAACGTTTAAAAGACATGTATTTTCAATCTTCCACAATGGAGATGCGTAACAACAACAAGCTAAGAACATATAGATTATTAAAAAACGCTTACCTCGAGGAGGATTATCTAAAGATTTCTAACGTCAAACACAGAACAGCCATCACGAAACTCCGGATTAGCTCCCACAAACTCCACATAGAAAAAGGCAGACACAACCACATTCCCTTGCAGCAAAGAATTTGCCGATATTGTGATTTAGACAAGATAGAAGACGAGTGTCATTTTGTTGTAGATTGCTCTTTATACAATAGCGAGTGAAATAATCTTTTCAACTGTATTCAAAATAAGTTTCCTAGTTTTAAATATTTGAATAGTTTAGAAAAATTTATATATCTTATGAAATTAGACAAGCTGTGTTTTGTAAGTTCTATATGTTCATTCATCTACAATTGTTTTAAGAAGCGAGAAGAAGTCGATCCTGTAAACAATAGTATTATTTAGTTTGTCTTCATGACCTGTACTTAGCTCGAAAGAGCATAAATGTGCAATAAAGGTCTTTCATTCATTCATTCATTCATTTAATCGGGTAATATACGCATGAATCCTACTTCTATATATTCCTTAGATATTACCAAAGCCTTGTGACTATATTTTGAATTTTTCTTCTTTGTTTCCCGCCGAATCCCCGATGAAAAGTCTGGGTACGCGGTGGGCCGACACGCGACCTGACGCGCCGCCGATTTCGGGTGCGCCCGCTTGCTGTAACGCACATTTATTAGACTTCTAAGAAACTCTGCAACACTTACTAATCTACTTCGTCTTTGTGAACATTTATGGGGTTCTGTTATGTTAGATGTCTTGATAAATCTTGCCATATATGATAATTCTAGTGTTTTCACAAAACAGCAGTGCCGGTCTGCGATTCCGTGGCGGACCCGGTCGCGTGTCGGCCCGCCGCGGAGCCGGACTTTTCATCGGCGTCAAATACTTGCCGAACGCAGAAGAAAAAATTCAAAATATAGTCACAAGGCTTTGGTGACATCTAAAGAATATAAATGTTACCAAAATACGCGTATATCACCTGAATAAAACATAGTTCAGGTCACATAAACATGGGGCGATCTGGTAGTAAATAGACGGGGCGAAAGTAACACGGGGCGAATCGCCGAGAGAAGGTGGGCGGAATGGAACCTTCTCTCGGCGGCTATGTAGGATGGCCGGCTATATTAACCCTACCTAGACCGGGGGGGGGGGGCTAAAAGTGCCCGCGGCAACTTTGATGTCACCTAGCGTCTGAACGGCTAACCGTAGAACAGCCAAACTTGGTGACTTTTCCTAGAATATTGTTGGCAACAATTCTCTATCATTGGAATAAGATAATAATTTTTTGTGTTGCCATGGCAACGGGGTTTCTGACAGGCATTTTTTGCTAAATTTAGTACTTTTTGTTTCGACAATAAAATTTTAAGGGTTTTATGTCAAGTTACTCATGGTTTTTAATATTAATAACATCCCATATAATTTTATGTAAATTTTATCATTAAATATGCATAATTTATGCTAATTTGATGACGTCATTGGCCAAAATCCAAGATGGCGGACCATATCATTAGAACAGGTATATACAGGTTATTTTCATCAAAATTTCATCAATACTTCCATTTCTTTTTCCAGAAAAGGTTTAAATGAAGGTTTTTAGTATGTTTACAATGTATTTTAGGCTTTATCATGGAAAAAAAACTATTTTTGAAAATTCATAATTGATGATCCAAGATGGCGGATATCTTAAATAT